CAGCGCAACTGCGGCACATATCGCAGTTCAAAATCTTCCTGTGTACATGCCTGCAGCGCAAGAAAGGGAACACGAATGTATCATACTTCATGTTCGAGTATTATGATTTTTTCAACAATACTGGCTTAGCTTCATTTCAAAATCCAGCGAATATTTATTAAAATGCAACAATCTATACGTATATAAATATACAATATTCTATTAAATAGCCTTGTCCGATGTGTATCTGGACATTTTCTCGAATATTGTCCCACTTGGAAGGAGGTGAGGTATGCGCCGCTTCGAAGTTCTTCATAAGTGGCCACTGCGCGATCCACTTTTTCCCGGCGTTCCCTATCTCTTCTTCTCAAGATCTTTCCTTCGTGAGGAAACTGAAAAGCTGTATTTGATAGACGTAGATTTGGACTTAAATCAACATACCGCCTCCATCCTTTACAAAGTTGCCTTCGCTACCAAAGCGAAGACAAGGAGTAGTGAAGCCAGGGGCAAATGTTTCTTCATGAGGATTCTCCTCAGTCTTCTGAAATCAAATCTTAGCGTAACGCAATTATACCTATTAGACTTACCCTTGGTAGCTTTCAGCTGTATTTGTGGTGCGCTCTTCATGGACCATATCACTACAAGTTTGGGAAGGTCCCTGCAAGCTATGTGCTGTTCAAATAGTCGAGGAAGTTTCGACATGGCTCATAAACGGGGTGTACTTATTTCTTAGTTGGTGTTTGCAGAGCGTTGACCAAGTGGTAGCAATTCCTCGGTAGGAAAGGCAGTCGTTTCAACGTACTATCGGACCACCTTCCGTTCCCCTTCATATAGTATAGCAGTCCTAAGCTATTTCTTTTTCTAAAGGCTTGGCTGAGATGCCAACTACACCCCTCAATGGAGAAGCGAGGGAACACTCATCGCGCTGCTTTAATTGTTGCCCAAAACATAGAATATCAATGTATATGAGAAAGCAGAGAATATGACTGAAAGAGTACCATCTTGAAGTCAACGATGAACCTGGGTTGCAGTTCTTATGACTCTGCGTT